CAGAAAGGCACATCTGTGGACAAACAGACCCACTGCCTATTTCTGGCATGAGCCAATTAAGAAGAATATAAATTTGTTTTTATTTTCATTTTATGCTGCCAGGAATCTCTAGTTGCAGCTCCTTTTTACTCCCCCTGGTAAAATCGCTCTCAGAGGTAAGCCTAAGCCGCTAGCCTTGAAAAGCTGCAGGATCTCCCTGGAATTTTACCAAGCTGTTTGAACCTTGCCATGGCTTTTCTTGCAAGTAAAACTGTGGCATGTTTTCAGCTCCCCAAACTAGGTGAATGCCTACTCCAAAGGATTCTGATGGACAACTGTATGTTTGCACAGACTGTGAAAATGTGAGTGCGCACTAATATCCCTACAGTATATTGTTCTGTAAGTGTAACTTGCACAGTGCATTTTGGATGAACATTTCTAAATTTCTCTTTAAAAATGTAGTATTTGATCTTTCAAAGATATGCACCTTTCTTCGTACTGAGCATCATACCAAAATGCGGACACCTATCAGCTGTTCTTCACACATAGTTCCTGTACATTTAATTTTCATTAGTTATGAATCTGAGCCTCAGACTCGAGACTGCATGGTAAAAAATGTTTGCGAGTGCCTCAAAAGTACCTTTGTAGTTTCTTGCTTTTAAGGAAGACACGACTCCCACCTTTATTTAACCACAATTTGCATTAATAAGAGGACAAGATGTTGAATTACGTTTCTCTACAGTTTGGGTCTGTCCTATTGTCCTGAAAAAGTATTAGTCATGTAGGTTTAAACCCTGTGCACTCTGTCAGCAAGCGCCATGTGGAACTGAATGCTAAAATATTAGTTAGCAACATGTCTAACAGAGATAAGGAAGACTGTTTCTTTCCAGAAACAATTTTTTGTTCACGAGTAAGAACCACTGAGGTAATCTGCATTGCTCTCACAAGCGGGCAAGAAGCGTGTCCTGAAACTTCAACTAGCTCCAAAAGTGCAATACTTGCACAGAGACTCAGAGAGCAGTGCTGCAGCACTGCTGTTTTCTGCGATCCCAGGTAGGATTGCAGAAGCAGGAAGAAATCACACCACGATGTGGACGACAGTCTTTCCTTCATACTCCTTTCTTTCTGCTGCAGCCCTGGAACTGGGGTACTGTTCCAGTAAAGCCTTTTTGGGAGGATCTCCTGGTTGTTCCATACGCTACTTGACAAGGACTTGGATCTGACCAGGTGCTGGTTGATTCAATGACCAGCAGCCAGTCTCCTTTAGCACCAGTGGCACATGAAACATGACCATGTAGGCATTACTACCTATTTATTGCTTTTTGAGTTCTCACATTTTATGAAAAATTGAGTATAAAGACCTCTCTCAGTTCTTTTCAGTTCTCTCAGTGCATTTTCTTTCCCTGGTGTTAAGCTAGCAGCTTGCCAGTCCTGGTGATGTCTGCCTGTAAGGTCTAGCTGTGGGACCTTAGGGCATGTTAAAACAACAGGAGACATATCAGCAAGAACAGTGCAAGGAAGTGAACGCAGGAGGGCTGGTAAGTAGTTTCCTCTGAAGGGCAAGGAGGAAAAATCCTATCCTCTGCAATTACACCTCTGAACTTGGTGCCATCTCCATGGAAGAGGTATTTAAGCAAGTGGAAACTTCCTGCAGATGCATACACGGTTGTTAGTAAGCAAGTACAGTGTCAGGCATGCATTGTGGCAGCCAAGGAAGTGTGTTTGCTAGGTTCCTTGCTGCAGTTTCATCACATGAATAATATTTCTGCATACATCTTATGACAATCCTGACAGAAGGAAGCATCTCCCATATAAGAGGGCTTCCAGCTCATGGACATTCTGCTGACACCATCAATGAGGTGGCAGACTAACAGCACCTATGGAACAAGGCAAATCCCATTTTTGGGGTGATGTTGGAAGACAAATTCCAGGAGGCAATTTCCAAAAGTCGTAATAATTGAACACAGTGCTCACAGGCCATCTGATCACAGTTTTGGTATTAATAATATGGGATGTACTCAAATTGGGAACCTGTTTATAAGGGGTTTTTACACTCAGCTTATGTGTGAGCAGAATGAGTGCTAGAAACATTTTTAGAAACCTAGTCAGCTGATGCACATAATTTCTGCCTATGGCATATTTAGTTTTAGCTGACATATTTAATTGTAGCTTAATCTCCAGGTCTTTTAATGGCTTTTATGCAGCCTACTGTTTACATTCACATCCATACAATGAACTTTACCAAAATCCGAGTGCTACCCTATAGCTACTTGCATGCAGCTTTACAAGCTTGATAAACAAATGCTTTAAGAGAGGTTCATACATATATATAAATGGCTGCAATTTGTACCTACGTTTGCATGTACATTTCTAATGTAAGAATGGTAATTTTGTTATTCAGACCAAAAGCAGCAGGCTGGTATCAGACATTAATCAGGCTGCTGTTTCTAATTCTTGTACTTTTCTAAAGAACTGAGGAATGTGGCAGGAACTACACAGAGCCAACTCATGGAGCTTCTTACCCAGTTTTTCGTCTGCATTGGCAAAACTGATGTTGAAGCCCTGGATAAGAATTTCTCTGTGTAGCTCATCTCCTAAGCAAAAAGTAAGGGTGTTTTCAAGCAGTTAGATAGTATCTGTCAGTTACTACTTAGTAGCCAATAAAGAGTGCGTTACTTCCTTTTAAGCTGTACCACTTCATCTGAGTATTGGTAAGCTTTAATGCGCAGCATAACTGAGTACATTAGCAGGTTATTAATAGCAGGAGAGATTTGTTTTCATGGCATGTAACCGTTTCTAAGACAAAGCAGTTTGGGACGGGGCAGACTGAGCTCTAACAGCAATGATCCTGGAGCGGTTGTGCTGGATGAAGGGATGTGCTTGTACCTGAAGGCAGCTTTTATTTCCCTGGGTGCAACCATGAGATTTCATGGGGTCATAACGGGCTGTGACACACAGGGACACCCCAGTGTCATTGGAACACTCTCAAATACAGTGGATAATGGCATTCACACCTCAAAGCCTTCTCTTTTGCCTCCTTATGTTATGCCAGGGGGGACTCAGAAAACAATCTGACCATTTCCTCCAAATGCTGATCGTAAAATGTTTTATTTTGAACTAGCAGAGACAGTGCATGGAAGGCAATCGTGAGCTCATTGATTTATAGTTTCATCTTCACAGTCTTTTCCAAATACTCCCTCATGTTTCCTCTGTTGGCTACTAATTGCCAAGATTACCGTGCTTTCTGCCCACCCTGCAGGTGACTGGAATTGCAGAACAGCTAGCAAAAATGTGACACAAGAAGTTTACAAATCCCAGCATCGGACAATTTCATTTCATAGCACAAAGATACCCTCTCGTGTTTTTGGGTATCTGCAGCACTTTCATAAACGGATAGCACATAATAGTGACTTTGCCACAGGACGCCTTTGAGTTTTATGCTGCAGCCCTGAAGGGAAGAAGGCTCTCTGCCCCAGAAAGCTGACACGACACCCCACACTGCCTTCGGGTCAGAGCCGTGACACCGCCCGCACGCCTTCCATCATTTGGAAGGAAGTCTTCCCTCCACGTTATCCTGTACAGGGCAGAGAGCCGCCTAACGCCAGCATAGGGCAACGGGTGCTTCGGTCTTGAGCTGAAAGCCTTCGGCCGGGCTCCTCTTGTCCCGCCGTGCGCAGGCTGCGGGCCGTGCCGGTGCGAGGCGCAGCGCCCTCCGGCCGCGTTCCGCTGAGTGCCGCCCGCAGAGCCGCGCCGTCCGCCGGCGCCGTGCTTCGCTGTTACGGACGGGCCGCTGACACGCGGTGTCACTTCGCACCTACACGCAGCCAATCCCGCTCCCGGGGCGGCTGTCCGAGCTTCCTTTAGCGAAAGTTTTTGGCTAGAACGCTTCAGGCGCTTGACACCGCTAGGCTTTACCGACAACGCCAATACGCCAATACTTTACCCCGATCCGACGCCTTTGGTGAGACGGAAAGGCGTTCCGCCGGCTTCGCCGCAGACGGGAACCGGCTCCCGTCTGCTCGCAGCCCGCCCGGCCGCCGCCCGCCCGCTGCGACCCGGCACGGAGTCGGCGGCTCCATCGGGAGGGCGCGGATCGGCCCCGCCGCCCGCGGCGACTCTTACCGATGATGATGGCACAGGCGCTGAGCAGCCCGATCTCCTTCTTCAGCGCCACCCGCTCGGGGCCGCCGGGCGCGCCGCGCTGCTCCCCGCCGGCCATCGTGCCCGCGCCGCTCTGCCCCGAGCCGCGCGCATGCGCCGCCCCCAGCGGGGCTCCGGGGGGGTCCGCGAGCGGGGTTCGAGGGGGCGGCGGGAGCGCGCCGGGATGAGGATGAGGCTGCGCCGGGCGCCTCTCGGGGCCGCGCGGCGGACGTGCGCACCTGCTGCGAGGAGCGGGTGACTGCTCTCCCGCTTATGAGCGGGCGAGCGCCGCGTGGTAGCTCCGCGTTAGCGGCGCGGAACGCAGCGGATGTCTCCACCTGTGATCCCACGCGGTGCGCACCGGCCGCCGCAAAGCAAGAGCGAGCAAACAGAGTTTGTTTTCCACGCGCGGGGCGCGCAGGTAATCACTGGGACGCTTCGTTCCCAGGAACGTGGGAACTGTGGAGACTGTCGGGGAAACGGCGCCGTACGGGAATTTACACGTCCTTGGCTCGGTGAACGAGCCGCTTTCGCAGAGTGCTGGGGAGGTTCCCTGCGCTCTCAGGTGAAATCAGAAAGTGAAATCCCAGCTTGGCAGCCCGGGCTCCTCCGCTCACAACGATTGCCCGGGGGTCCCCGGTGCCGGGTCAGAACGGGCGTTCCGCGTGCAGCTCCGCAGCGATGTGGAAGCCCAGGTCGGCGGGGAGGGAAATCCCCGCCTGGGGGCGCGTTCGAGAGGCGCGCAGGTGAGAAGCGCGCGGCGCGGCCCGGAGCTGCGTTTGGGCGCGCGGCGCGTTGTCGGAAGGTGCGCGGCTGCGGTGAGGGGATGAAGGAGGTGGGAGTTTCTGTGGCGACATCTCTCTGATTTTGTTTGGCTTTAGAACGGATGGAATGGCTGAAAAACTGGCGGCCGCCTTGCGGAAACCCGAAGGCTGTCTTTATGGAGTGGAGAACCGTAAGTGATTTTACTTTATAAAGCTGCTCAAGCTCCTGCTGTTTAAGAAGACCCGCTGATTTTCGGGGGTTGAGATGCGTTTCCGAAATTGATGTATTGCTCCATAGAATTGTTGTTTGTAGGCGAACGGCTTGGCTAACTACTCCTAACAGGTGCTTCTATTGAATGATTTCACACTGTTGGTACGGAAGCGCTTTATAGGAGGATTTGCTTCCTGAACTGCGTGCGAGCTGCTGCTGTTGTCATTTTAAAGGCAGGAAAACGTGCAAACTGCAAACAAAAGTTTAGATGCTCTCTGATGTCTTAGCTGTTTCTCCTACGTGGTTTAAGCTGTTGCTGAGCCCTGCTTTCCATTGGTGGCAGCTGAAGTAATTCGTAGCACCTCTGATGGGCTCACCCGGACGTTACGATTAACTCGGTGCAAACACACCTGGGATGGTCCGTTGTTTTGTTCGAGGTAAAAATAAAATTGAATTTTGTTGAAGTACAAAACCCAAGAAAAACAGGAATGAATTATGTTATAAACTGCATTACTAATGGCGTTACTGAGTTCTATGAAGTTTCAAATCATTGAATTCTTACAGATCAACCACAAGATATGTTTAACGAGTGACACTTAAAAGGATAATGTTGTACTTGGGTTCTTTTGCTGTGGTGGAAACGTTGGTTTGCTCTGAACTGTGTGTACAGTCTTTGTGTTGCTGTGCAGAGGATGGAAGTCCCAGGCAGTGCTCTTAAGCTAATGGGAAGCTGCACTCTGGCTGTGGGCTGAAGGCAATAAATAATAGGATTCAATTAACTCTATTTATCTTTTCTAGCTCTACTGTGTGGTAGTTGGAGGTGTCTTTTTCTCTTTTCTCCTTTAAGTTTTCTGTTCAGTACATGGGTTTCTGCTAGTTGAACTATTAAATATTCATTTATATCAGCATGCAGGTGTGCACTGTACATCTTGTTCTACAAATGTTCCTCCTTGATGAAAAGCATGGGGCGTATATTTGTGATTTGATTCAGGTGTGGGTGACGAGGAGAGTTGGCCGCAGCTGTGTTGGTGGGGGGGCTGGGGGTGGCTGCTGCCCAGCAGCTGTGCTGCCTCCCCCTGGAAACTGAGGCTGAGTGTGTGGTGTGTGGGTAACTTCAACTGGGATCCTTGTATAGTTCTTCATTCAAAGAATATTGGTTTACTATTGTGTTCCCCCCCCATGTGTGCATAAGAAGTATAAAATAAAATATCTTTTTCTTCTTTTTTTTTTTTAAAGTGTTTTGATTTGTTGGTGGAGTAAGCAGGGGGCAGTTCGCAATGTGAGCTTTAGATATTTCTATATCCATAGCAAATCACAAGGGTGTAGAGCAGCACTGGGCCAGAGCCCTTTTGGAAAAGGCAGTATGACAAAGGTTGCCCTCATTAGCTGCCAGAAGCTGCTTATTTATTTAGTTAGGCTGGGTGCCTGCAGGCTTCACTGCATTCTCTGCACGAGGAGGGGATTCTTCTCAACACTGCTTGTGGGAGTATCGGCTGCTTATTGGGGTTGTGTGTTCTGCCCTATGGTTAATAATGTTCCAGAAGAAGCAAGTCAGAAGGCATGTACATTCAAATTGGTAGCTATCTGAGAGAACTTTCAGAGCCTTCTTTAAAATTGTTTTGGATCTGGACATGCAGTATCTAATTGAATAATGAAATGTTAGTAAGCAAAAAAGCCAAAGTTCTTTGTAGGAGGGCAATTGCTGCGTAGCAACTGCACAGAGAGGATACAATGAAGCTTGCATGTGTTCTTTTGTTGCTATTTTTGTCCTCCTTTTCTCAATGTCCTGAAACGTACAGAAATTATTGAAGTTGTTGGGACCAATTCATTTGTTCCTTATGCCTCTAAAAATGAGGGGGGCAGACAGTGACCGTTTGCTTATATATATGGGAAGAAATAATAAGGGAGTTCAACGTGTTAGTTAAGGAGGGGTGTTGAGACGGAATTTTCAAATGAACATAGTCTTTAATGTATGTGAGGTGAAAGAATTGCAGGGATTGTGACAGTAACACCCTGCCCACTCTTTGTTTCTGCACTCATCTAAAAAAAATTCTATTAAAAAAAAAGTCCAAACAATGAAATGTCCCATGCCTGCTGCTGAAAACAGTTGTTAAAAGTGTAGTTCAACTTCCAGTTTAATGGGGTCACCATAAACAATAAGTGGGAAAGAGCTGAAAGGATAAAGCAGGTTGTAGTGTATCTTTAAAGAGCAGACGATTAGCAAAAGGCAAGTAGGGGAGTAATGGGATTTTAAAGTGAATGTTAATTGCTAATCAACTTCAGAGGAAAGTTTGCCACGTTCCTCTTGATTGTCACCTATTCTGTATCATTGCAAACTTTATAAATAAAAAATAATCATTAATTTTACCTTTGTTTCTTGTTAAAGGAGAAAGTGAGGACTGAGCAACCAGACTGTGGGGAGCGTTTGCTACTGACCTTTGCACTACCCTCTCAGAACTTTGCTCTGCCCTCGTGGAGCACTGATCTCCAGGACAACTCAAACACTGTGCAGTTCTCCCTCACTGCCCTGTAATGGTTGGTGTGGGTACTGGGAGCAAAGTGCTGTGAGCTGGAATCCAGCGACCACCTCTAACCAAGAACATCTTGTGGTGTGCAGGCAGTGGGGAGTCTGGGTTGTCACAGAGCATTTGATTGTCTCTTGCTGTTTTCTGAAGTCTTTGGGAAGACTTCTTGCCTCTTTAAAGAGGGGGCAGGTTTGTGATCAAAAGCTGGAGTTAGCAGATAAGTGGTCTTCAGGCTTACAACCATGGCTTCTAAGTAAATTAAGCTTACTGGTTCCTCTCTTCCATTGTCCTCTGCAAGATCTGTGAGCTTGAATCCAGTAATTCAGAAACTTGAGGAGATCATTCAGGCTATGTAACTGTTCTGCCCTCCTCTAAAAAGGATGTAGCTTTGTACGCAGTAGAGGTTCACCTTGTGTTAATAACTCTCCACAGACCCTACTGAGAAAAGTAATTTGGCGATATATAAAAAAATCCACTCACTTAAGGCAGCAGGCTTTCATCCTTAGGTTCTGCTAACCAGAATGTTTGTTGTCTCTAACGTGAATTATTTACCAAGCATGAGCTGCTGGACACTTAGCTATCTGTGTCAGAACTCTGTATTTCTAAATTTCCAGCTGTATAAAGTGGGCTGTTGTATGTTCAAACTACATCATTCCTTCAAAGATACTCCTTCAAAGATATTTCATGGTGGCTGATAAGCAGATGAGTGTAAGTAAATCTACTTGTGAAGTTATTTGTAGGTTGTTGAATAATTAGGTTTGTATAGCCAGAGTTGCTCGAAGAACATGCTTCCTGTTGAGCACTTGTACTGTTGGTTTACTGGAGTTGGAAATGAAGTGATGAAAGGGAATTGAAACAATGATCAATTTTGGAACAAACACTTACGCTGCTTTTTTGTCTCATTTTCAGTATAACATACTTTAGTTTACCAGATTAGAATATTTTTAGTCTTATTTTTTTGTGGATTATGAAAACCCTATTTTTTTTCCCCCCCCTTCAAAGACCATGTTTTTTAAACCTCATTCTTACTGCTTAAGATGGACATAATATTGAAGCTTAATGCATTGCAACTTCTAATTGGGTTGGAATAATCCCCTCAATTTCTCACAAGTAACACTTAAAGTATTGTGCTGTTGACTTGGGTTTTTGGTTTGAGGTTAACCGTGATGTGTTTCACTTCCTTTTCAGAAGGAATAGCCTTACCAGATCCTTTTCCCTCTATACTGCAGCCTATGCTGTCCCTCGCTGTTCTTCATCTGTGTGCAGCATCTTTCTTTTGAGGTTGGTCTTTCAGTTGAACATCATTTTCCTGTGATATTCCCAATTGAAACTATCCTGAATTTTATTCCACGCTGTTTCTCTAAATGCCGTTGCTCACTCTTTTCTGGTGCACTCAAAATGAATATTTATCCCTGATAGATTCTAAGGCCCACCTTGAAATTTCTGGTTGTGGTTAACCATCCTTTAGAGGTGGTGTTGGATGTTGTTTTCCCCTCAAAAATTTACACGTGTAAATTATGACAATTTCATTTGGCTCTTATTAACTTACTTATGAGCATGACACTTTGGGCAGAACCGAAGGCTCTGAGTTTCTAAAGGAAATTCGTTCACATCCACCGCTTCCCCTTTGCTCCCGATCAGACGCATTAATCGTGACCCAAATTTCTGTGAACGCCTGTTATCCTCGGAGAAGCCCGGTAGATGGCACTCTGGTCCTGTAACTTGGTATTTTAAAGCCAAAATTGTCATTTTGCCCACTGTGCTGATGGCCTGAAGTGCTTGTTTCTCAAAATTGGGCTTCTAAGCTCAAAATTTAAAATTATTGTATATATACTGTAAAAAGTATAAACATTTCAGTAGTAGTAAGTCTTGCTGAAATAAGTCTTTAAGAAAAGGAGAATCTTTCTGCGTGTATCTACAAAGCACCACTTGACATAGAATGTCATTGAGGAGGTGTGCCAGGGTGGTGGTCTTGCACAGCGGGCTGATGTCCTTCCAGAAGGTACGTCAACTGCCAGGGAAATCCCAAGGCTGCTTGTCCAAAGGCTTGCTTACCACGGAGATGTGATAGAGCAGGCTCCTATAGGGCTCCTCTCTTTTTGGCGGTCTCCCTGGTCATTGATTTTGTGAAGACAAAGTCAGTGGTGCGTAACCTAACCTACCTTAGTTTTGCCTTGAATGGGGCTCACATTCAGGTTGTCAGGGCCATTACTCCAGGTGTTTGAAGCTCCCTCTCAACTCTTCCTGACCTGTGAGCACTTTTGACTCTTCCTGGACAAAATCAAACAAGTTAGCTGAGCCATCTGGCAGTGGTTTGAACCAACTTGTTTGACTTTGCCCTAGAACTGACTAGAAGTGCTTACACAGCCAGTTACTGGGTCTCTGCTGGAAGGTGTTAACTAACTGGGAAACAAAAAGGAACAGCCTTCAAAATAGGCTGTGAACTGTAAGCTCT